ATAAATCGCTGGTAAGACCACACCTTGAATATGCTGTGCAGTTTTGGGCACCTGTTCTAAAGAAGGATATCATGGCACTAGAAAAAGTGCAGAGATGAGCTACAAAATTGATTAAAGGAATGGAGCACTTTAGTTACAAAGACAGGTTAAAAAATTGAAATCTCTTTAGTTTGGAAAAATGGCGCCTCAAATGGGAATGGATAACATTATACAAATATATTCGGGGGCCAGTACAAACCATTATCTGGTAATTTATTTATAAACAGGGCTATACATAGGACACGGGGTCAGGCATTCCGGAAGACAGCCACTAGAGGCTGGCTTAACCCTAGATGTAAACATAGCAGTTTCTCAGAAACTGCTATGTTTACATGAGGCAGGGTTAACCCTAGAGAGACGTGACACCCAGACCACTTCATTGAGCTGGGTGACTATAGTGTCCCTTTAAGTACTCGTGGGTGAATACCGTCAGGCCCCGGAGCTTTATTTACATACATTTTCTTTAACTGCTTTAGCACCTTGTCTCGAGTCATCCAATCACAAGTTATCTGCAAGTTTTTTGCAGCAATCATTTGCATATCTCTTGTCATAGGATCCTCATTAAAATATACTGAAGAAAAATAGTTATTTAAAATGTCTGCTTGTTCCTGGTCTTCATTAACTAACAGACCCATCTCTGTTTCCAGTGTACCTACATTTTCATTTTTTGTTATTTTAGAATTGATGTACTTTAAATAAAAATTGCAGTTGGTTTTGCATTGTTTGGCTATTAATTTCTCATTTTCTAGTTTAGCCACTTTAATAGCCTTTTTGCAAGCATTATTGGCTTCCTTATATCTTATATAGGATGCCTCTGATTTTTCTGATTTTAATGCTTGAAATACCCTTTTCGCATTTTTAATCTCTTGTTTTACTTCTCTACTAAGCCACATTAGTTTCAATTTTTTTGTTTTTTATATTTACTACCCAATGGTATATAATGAAAAATGTACATTTCTAATATTTGTTTGAAGAGTTTCCATTTATCCTAAGTGTTTTTTTCACTAAGGAGTTTATGCCAGTCGATATGTTGTAAAGCTGTCCTAAACTTAGTTAAATTGGCTTTTTTTTTTTTAATTCAAAATTTTAGTATACCCCACGTGCATTTGCTTTTTAGTGTTTATTTAAAAAATTACCATATTGTGATCACTATTTCCCAAATGCTCCCCTACTTGAATGTTGGTCAAAAGATCAACATTGTTTGTTATAACAAGATCCAGACAAGCATCCTTTCTAGTTGGTGCTTGTACCAGTTGTGACATGAAGGTGTAATTTAACACATTCAAAAACCTGGTTCCCCTTGCTGAAGTACTAGTCACTCTATCCCAATTTATGTCTGGTTAACTAAAATCTCCAATAAATAACGTGTTACCCAGATTTGCAGCTTTCCCAATTTGCTCTAGCAGCTGTTCTTCCTCTTTAATATTTACATTAGTTGGTTTATAACATTTCCCAACCAATAATTGATTTCCCTTCGTTTGCCCAAAGCAGATATCTACCCATAAATCTTCCACATTTTCCTTGTCACACTCCACATGCCTAAGATCCCCCAGCACAGCAGACCCTCTTCCGTTTAGGTACAATCCATCATGGCTATACAGGTTGTACCCAAGCTCAAAATCGGCCCAGTATTCTAAAAACCCAAAACCCTCTTTCCTGCACCAAGACTTCAGCCACGCATTGACCTCTCTAATCTCCTGCTGCCTTTCTGCTGTAGCGCGCGGCACAGGTAATATTTCTCAAAATATTCCATTGGAGGTCCTTTTCTTTAGTTTACTTCCAAGTTCTCTGAACTCATTCTTTAGGACTTTGTCATTGATACCAATATGTACCATGAAAGCTGGGTCATCCCCAGCCCCTCCCAATAAGCCCTCCACTCTGTCAGCAGCATGCTGGACCTGAGCACCCGGGAGACAGCAAACTGTCCGGTTGAGACGATTAGAGTGGCAGATTACCCTATCTACTCTCTTAATAATAGAGTCCCCTACCACCACAACCTGTCTATTCTTCCTTACCCTCTCAACCCCACCTGTACTAGAAGGGCTGTTCCCACGGCCGTTAGAAGGAACAGCTTCCTGCAGTACAGCTACTCCTGAGCTGATGCTCCCAACATCTTCACTCAAACGGGCAAATCTGTTAGGCTGCACAAGATCTACTACTACAGGACTACTAAACCTTTCCTCTTATCTCCCCCCCGCTTCCTCGCCCCACTGTTATCCAGCTACGTATCTGTTCACCAACTGTCTCATGTCCTCCCGCTCCACTACGTGCCCATACTAAACTCTGCTTAGTGAGCAGCAGACTTCTCTCAAGATTGTCAATCTCCCTCAGTGTTGCAATTTGCCTCTCCAGAGTTCCAATCTGAGCTTCCAGAAGAGCCACTCGCTCACACCCCCTACAGAGGTATGGACCCTGGACAGATTCATCCAGGCATGCATACATGCAGCACAATGTGCACTGAGTAAAACTCATAATCTTGCGAACACTCATCCCCAGTTACCAAAAACATTTCATGATTCTTTTGTTTCAGGTATTGTACCGGAGGATTGGAGGAAAACAGAAGCCGTTCCTATATTTAAAAATGGCTCAAACCCTGGACCCTGGACAGATTCATCCAGGCATGCATACATGTTGGAACTGATTTAATAGTTTGCCAGAATCCCATGTATGTTCATTGATAACATGGTGTAATATCGAATACTAGTGTTTTCTCATCAGAATGACATTCTCTTTACACAACAAACTCAATATCCACAAATGATTTCTAACCGTTTTCGGCCATGGTAGCAGTGGCTTTCCAAGTTTATTTTTGGTGATGTTGGCTGGTTGTTTTTGAAACCTTTTACAGTAATTCCATATATCTGTCAGGGTGGCGGTCCAGTACCCGGGACCCAGACACTGTCCGGGCGGCGGAGCGAGGACCAGGACCCAGTATGCCTGATGTTATAAGTGGGAGTCTTCAGCGTGGAGGTGGATTAGCAGGGTCTGGTGCAGCATTTGTGCAGCCACATACCAGAACTCTGATTCAGATTATGCGGATCCCAGACACTAAGAGCTTGGAATTAAAGCAGACCTCCCATGAGCTGAATAGGTAGGCTCTGCAGCAGGAACGTATCCAGTACTAGAAACAAGGCTAGACTAGAGATAGGCACCAAACATGAAAAACAAGACAAAACTATTAGAACCCAGAACCAGAGAAGGATAGGAAGCTAAACCCAGAACATGTACACAAGACATGAGGGAAACATGAACATAACATGGGCAGGACAGGACCGTACATGGACTGGGAATACAAACTAAAACAAGACAGGATATGATAGGCAAAACAAGAGGAGAAATAACTAAGTACTATATATGAAAATCATGGGGATTTAGTCACATTATATGATCATACATTGCATAAGCCTGCCAACAACGCCAATGTACCCCAATCTGGCAGGTCCTACTCTGCCTAATGCAAGCTAAACCAACCAAAGAAAACACACATAGTACTTACCTGCAAGAAAGGGCAGAAGGCTTGAGCAGCTGCCTGCAGGAACACTGAAACAAAAGGAATGATGGAAAACAAACGGGTGTGGCAAATAAAACAAACATTTAAATGAATCCAAGAGACTGGGAAATCCAGGGACAGAATATAGGAATGAACTCAGAAATCCCAGCATAAAGAAAACCAGACATAGAATAGTAAACCAAAAAAACAAGAAAAACTAAACAAGAATTGTAAAAAGAGTACTGGATACCAGAAGCCATTGCCAGAATGATCCACAGCATGGAACAGGATGTGACAATATCAAATTAATGGTTTATTCTACTACAGTATATTCTTTTCCCATGATTTAGCAGATCGCAACATGTAGCTTTAGAAACTTGTATCTTATCTGTTACATTAAGTTTGTGAGTTGGTTCTTCAAAAAGTGTGTATGTGCAATATTTGGCTGAGAATCCAGGACTATCTCACTGTCTGTCACTTGACAGATAAACTGCACGTTCCTTTTAAATGAGAATTATGCTTTGCAAATCTTGCAAATTATGTGAATAATTAGGAAAAAGTGGTAGTCATGTCTAGATTTTTATATAAATGGTTTGTACATTTCTTGCACTTTACGTTAATGGGAACCACAAAATAGTATTGCTGCACTTGCAAGAATATTTCCAACTGCATTTATTTCCACTTTGGCTTCTCCAAAACAAAGTAAGATTATTACTTTCAGCCACTAATAAATTGAGTGTTAGATGACTATAATATTTTAAAAATTAAGTGGTTCATTTCAACCTGGATAATCTTTTTAAGACAGTTAAGGTGCGTTTTACCTTTTTTTTTCTGCAATGTATATTTATTATTGAACAATTCTTTTTACATATGTAATGAACCAACTTGCCCAGACCAGGTTTTTACCTATACTTTTACCATTATTTGCCTCTAGTTCTCTAAAAATGTACTCATTCTTGTAAAATGTACTTTTCTGAAATGTGACATGAATAAAAGTCATCATTCTTAAAAAAGAGATATTAATAAAAATATATAGTTAAGCCATTTAAGGAACTGAAAAAGCCAGACTCATTTAAGAGATTCAAAACCTCAATAACAGACTCACTGAAAACAACATACAGGAAACAGATATAGATATATTTATGTAAGAAAACCACAAAACATTAAAGATATATATTTTTTAATGATTAGATGTAAATCATTAATTTTTCTGCCAGTCATTGTTTAGTAAAGGATAAAAAGCAATATAATTGCACAAGGGATTTTAACAGCCAATTTATAATAAAGGTCAGAACTAATGTACACAACATAGTACCTTACTTGACTCAGATTAAAGGAACACTATAGTCACCTAAATTACTAAATAAAGCCGTTTTAGTGTATAGATCATTCCCCTGCAATTTCACTGCTTAATTCACTGTCATTTAGGAGTTAAATCACTTTGTTTCTGTTTATGCAGCCGTAGCCACACCTCCCCTGGCTATGATTGACAGAGCCTGCATGAAAAAAAAAACTGGTTTCACTTTCAAACAGATGTAATTTACCTTAAATAATTATATCTCAATCTCTAAATTGAACTTTAATCACATACAGGAGGCTCTTGCAGGGTCTAGCAAGCTATTAACATAGCAGGGGATAAGAAAATCTTAATTAAACAGAACTTGCAATAAAGAAAGCCTAAATAGGGCTCTCTTTACAGGAAGTGTTTATGGAAGGCTGTGCAAGTCACATGCAGGGAGGTTTGACTAGGGTTCATAAACAAAGGGATTTAACTCCTAAATAGCAGAGGATTGAGCAGTGAGGCTGCAGGGGCATGTTCTATACACCAAAACTGCTTCATAAAGCTAAAGTTGTTCAGGTGACTATAGTGTCCCTTTAAAGAGGGTTTAGTTGGAAGGAGAAGAAGCTCATTAAATGGAGCTATTATTCGGAAAAAGATGGAACTTGGGAAGTGGAGATGAAGAATATGGAAAGGATTCCTATTACCATAACCACTGTCATAATATGTAGTGGTTATGGTGCTTGACATATTCTTTCAAAGAAGACAATTATATATACAGTTGTGATGGTATTTAATGCATCTTGGACGTAAAACCCCAAGGGCAAAGTATAGAATATTTGATACAGTAATAACCTCAACATCTGAGGAAAGGGATTTAGGAGTAAATATTTCAGATGACTTAACCCCTTAAGGACACATGATGGAAATATTCCGTCATGATTCCCTTTTATTCTAGAAGTTGTGTTCTTAAGGGGTTAAAGGTAGGCAGACAATGTAACAGAGCAGTAGGGAATGCTAGCAGGATGTATATTTGTATAGGGAGAGGTATTAGCAGTAGAACTTTGGAAACTTTTGGAGAGAGAGAGCCACGAGAACAGATAGGAAAATATGATATACAAATACACAGAAGGTATAGTTAAAAACATATACCAAAAGGGGGCGCCACAATTACAAATCGTGTGTATATTTACCATATGTTTTCCATATGAGTCATAAAGAGAGATAAAAAACAAAACATATATAGTGAAGTATTTAATAACACAGTCATAAAGTTAAAAAACAAATATGTACACTCACAAGTGAAGTGGCACAAAAAGACATGTATCAGTTTGTGCTAAAGTGCTTGTCAGCCCCTCCTGGGCTAAGTCCCCTTTAAAACGAATCCAACTTCAATGCCTTCAGATGATCAGTATACTTCTCCCAAAGTACTGTGGGAAGAGAAATCAGGCAGAAGAAAGTGGTGAAGTCTCGTATTCTTTAGGGCGATACTGACAGCTTCTTATCTGCTCAACGCGTTTCGTCCCGGTGGAATTTTTCAAGAGCTATGTGTCCATAGTGGTTTCAGCTATTTAAATATAAAAAAAAAAACGCGCTGCTTCCATTCGTGCGCGCATGCGTATAACGGCAGACGTTAAGAAACACGTCACCGCGCATACGCAAACAAACAGCCTGAAACGCAAATATCTTTATTGATATTGTTCGCCCGAGGACACTCTTCCGTACCGGACCACTTGGTCCAACAGAACATACAGTATGATAACATAAAAATGGCATGTAATAAAATATAACAGACAATGCAGTAAAATCATTGTAATGCTTATAGTGTACTCACAATGTATTCAATAGACCTCTATTGAATATATGATAAACTTTATTTACATCACCAATAAAATATACTAAAAATACAGACAAATAATCACAATTTAAACTAAAAATCATACAAATGTTAGTGTGCATAATTTACACTTAAAATATATATAGTGCATATTATATAAAGGCAGACATTAGGAATATTCTATAAAAGCAAATATTAAGAATAAATCAACATTAAGGACAGTTACAGTGACATACCTGAACATGCTGCAGGACATAGCGAGAGCACTGAATTTTTGGGAATTCGGAGTGGCCAGCCTGCACTATCTATGCACTTTATCCCGCACACCGTTTCTGTATATTAAGAAAATATGATAAGCTGATTTCAATAAATGCCCGGGGGATTAATACACCATATAAAAGGTCTATAATTGTGGATTTCCTGACCAAATATCGAGTACAAATTTGTGCCCTATAAGAAACCCAATAAAAATATAATTAAATCATCAAGGTACTCCACTATCATAAGATCCAATAAAAATATAATTAAATCATCAAGATACTTCACTATCATAAGGGCGGCTCTAGAAAAAAGAAAAAAAAAGGCGTAGCATTTATGGTTGCAAAATAGGTCTCCCTAATTATTAAACATCAAGAATTAGACCCAGAAGGACGTTATATTATTTTTATCTGCAAAATAAATAATAAACTATTTCCGTTAGCTAACATTTATGCACCAAACAAATCTACAATAAAATTTATCACAAAAGTGCTTAAACGAATAAAGCAGATTAAAGAAGGGTTGGTATTAGTTATGGGTTATTGTGTAGTGGACCCTTTGAAAAACAGAAAGAGCCAGAATGACAGGAATAGCAGGAAAAAAACAGATAGCAAAATTTAATAAATAACCATAATTTAAGAGATATATGGAGAACATTTCATCCCTTCACCTTAGACTACACATGCTATTTTAGAACATTTAATTCATATTCCAGAATTGACCTTATTCTGGGTAATGGGACCATGCTATATCTTGTTAAAAGAATAGCAAAACAGGATATGGCATGGTCAGATCACAGTCCCATCATGTTGGAATACAAAGATAACTTTGATACATTCCGTAAGTGGCATTTAAAGATTTTATATTACATTAAAAAAACAATGTTGAAGAAATTAAGAATATAACAAATCTTTTCTTTTCAGAAAATAAAAATAAAGGTACACCAGATATCACGGTCTGTTGTACTTATAAAAGCATAACTAGAGGCCACTTGATAAAAATGGCAGCCATGGCAAATAAGAAAGGATTACCGCCTCTCCATAATCTGTACATAACACTAAGGAAATATAAGAGGCAGAACAAAATAACACCTTCCACACAAATAGCAAGGAAGATTATAGAAACAGAAAAACAGATTAATATCCAACTAATGAATAAAGCAACCAATCAGTTAGAAGCACTACACTCCAAGTGGTATCTAAAGGGCAATATTCCAGAAACACTAATGTCAAACAAATTGAAAAAATAGAAACACAGAGTAATAGTTAAAAAGAGTAATAGTTCAAATAAAAGACAAAGAAATGTATCTAATGGCCCCAATAAAAATAGGTAGAGCATTCCAGAAATTTTATCAGAGTCTATATAATTTACCAGAAGAAACAGTTTTGTGGGGAAAAGAGACTGAGGAGTTCTTTGAAATTTTAACCATGCCAAAAATCCTACCGACCAATTAAAGTGGATAAACCAGCCTATAACAGAAGCAAAGGTCAGTAAATCCATAGATGAGCTCGAAATTAAGACTGCCCCAGGCCCAGATGGTTTCACAAATAAATTTTATAAACTAATGAAAGATCATCGTAAAGGGGAACTTACCAATATTTTCAACTGCATAATAAAAACAGGAGGCTGTCCTGGAGAACTGCTGAGAGCAAACATTGTTCCAATCCCAAAAGCAGATGAAGACCCAGAATTGATCGGTAATTATAGACCTGTATCGTTAATTAATACAGATATTAAAATATTATCTTTCATTCTCGCAGATAGCTTAAAAATAGTCATACCACAACTAATCAATAACAATCAAGTAGGATTCATACCAGAGAGGTCTTCAATCAACAATATTAGAAAAATAATAAACATACTAGATGAAACAGAGATTAAAGATACCCCTCTAATATTACTGTCAATAGACGCAGAGAAAGCGTTTGACAGGGTTGGGTGGGGATTCATGTTAGCTACTTTAAAACAATATGGAATCACATGGTCAATACTACAAGCTATCTACAGTTCTCCAGCAGCCAAAATAACAGGGTCAGGATTCACATCACAAAATTTTAGAGTTAAAAATGGGACTAGACATGGGTGCCCTCTTTCCCCTTTACTGTTTATAATGGTGTTAGAACCTCTCACGATTCTAATAAGACAAAATAAAAAAATTAAAGGATTTACGAACTCCCTAGGACAAAGTAAACTAAATATCTACGCAGATGACATCCTACTATCTTTAGAAGAACCAAAAACCTCAGTCCCAGAGCTACGGAAGGAGGTAAATACATACTCTAAAGTGTCAGGATACAAAATGAATATAGAGAAATTAATATTTATAGCAAAAAACCTGAATAAAAGGTTAATCAACTTTCTTGAACAAAACCTTGGGCTGCCAGAAAACAAGGAAAGATTAAAATTTTTAGGTGTAACATTAACCTCAGAATTAAAAGATATAGTAGAAGCCAACTTTCTACCTTTACTAATTCAAACTAATAAAAAATTAAGGGACTGGAAAGGCATGGGATTTTCTTGGTCGGCTAGGATTAACATTCTAAAAGCATATTTTTTACCAAAACGGCTGTGTTTATGGACAATGATCCCAGAAAACTGGCTATCTTTATTACACACATTCTTTCATAAATTGTATGGGGCGGAAAGAAAGCAAGAATAAAAATGAAAGTTCTAGCTAGATCAAGGCAGGATGGAGGTTTGGGTTTTCCGGAAATACTACAATGTTATCAGGCCAGTAGACTTTTTCATATTCTACTATCGCAATATATTGCTGCAATCCAAGAAACATGGTGCAAAATGGAAAAAGTTAAAACTGGGGTAGGAAATCTAATGTCACTATTTTGGGTACTAGATGTAAATAAAAAATTCATCAAAGAACTAAATCCCAGATACTGAAAGAATTAATGAGTTGGTGGGACAAATTCACAAACAATACAGAACTCAGAAACAGAATAATAGATGCGCTTCCTTTTTCTAGTATTTCAGATATGTTGGACGACATAAAAGTAGATTCTTGGAAGACTGGAGGGAAAAGGGAATTTAAAAACATAATAACGGGACATAAAATCAAAACCTTCAATCAAATTGTGGAAGAATCTCCTCCAAAACGAGGGGGAAAAAATTACAATTCTCAAACATCAATTTGAATTAAAGAACTATAGAAACTTAATGGCAAAATGTGCCAAAGTTATCTACAGATGGAGACATGATAAACCAATAGAACTGATTAACAAATGGGGAAAAGAACTACAAATACATATAGAAGAAGAAGAGTGGATGAATAAATCTAAATAGATTAAATAAATATGTACATT